AGGGGAGGGGAGGGGAGGGGAGAGGAGGGGAGGTAACATGAGGGCCAACACTGGCCGGCAAGCCTTTGATTGCACCTCACACACTCATGTATTCGACCACGCAAAGTACACGCCCAATCAATGCCAACCCACTTACAGCAGCCTGGGTGAGCAAAAAGGGCCCTACGCCCGAGGAAGGTTGCGCTTGGTGAAAAGTGCGCCAGAGTGTTGCTTGTGTGGATGTTGGGATGGCTGATCATAAAGTAGGGTGGCCGGCCTTAATTAGTCAGATGCTGATGTTGATAATGATCTGTCACATTCTGCCGTCAAGCGCCTCTTAGTACGGGGCCCCGTGAAGGGGGCACCATGATTGCATGACGGATGTTTACTACGTCAATGATCTGCTGCCCGTCCCAAGAGACGGCAACTGGCGGAAGGGTGCAGGCGCACGGTGCTAACTTTAGGGTGCTCTCGGCATCTCTCGGCACGGCGCGATTTGTGTGCGTCGGTGGTGCGAGCGGGGAACCAAGCGTTACTGCGCACGCCTCGGCTCCTGCTTCCGTCCAAGGAGCTACCCTACATCCGCGGACGTGATTTTTAGGCAGAAGTGATGCATGTCTTGTCCTTTTTGCGGCTCTTGCCAGTCACAAGTTGAAGTTGCTTGAAAATGTTGACTGGGCCTGGGCGTGGCGGCGTCGAGGCGTGGAAACGATACCTTGCTAGCTTGCGTGAGACGTGCCTGCAAGACATGGAAATTTTGCAGTAGTGTCAAAGCCGTCTCTCCTGGCCAAGCCGTGATGTGGTCAAAACATAGTGATCACACCAGATCCGCGCACAAGGAGGCTTGGTGCATGTCACAGGCACAGGTCGACGTTGCGTTGTCTCATGGTGTTACCGTGATGCGCGATCCCACTGCCACTACTGGACATGGGTTTCAAGTGCCCATAAATTGGAAGTTCTGGCCGCGCACGACGGCTCAAATCAATTAAAGCCAGGGTGGACTTGCAGCAAGTGTTGGGTTGTTCGCAGAGCGCTCGGTACCGCCTCTCAGTGCCGTGGAAAGGACAGCACGCCTCATCCACGACAGACCGCGTTCTGGCAAGGCCTTAAACCCGCTCATGTCAAAAGCAAGATCTGTTCTTTTTGGAGAGGTGCTGTTGCCGAGGCCTATGCGTGGTTCTTTTGACTATACACTTGCACTGGCCACATCCGTTTACTTTCGCAAGGTGTTGAGCCCAACCCCTGTCCGGTTGACGTTGCTGTTTTATCCTGCAATGTGCAGTTGCGTAGCGGTGCATGGGCGCTCTTGGACCATCTTGCTGCGCTTCAGGCAACAAGGTTTAACTTAACGAGCGTGAACTGGAAGCCTATCGGCGTGCTGCCGAGAAAAGCTGCAAACTGTTTTACACGTTTGGTACTCCAACTGCTGACGGGCTGGTGCTGGTGCTGGTGGTGCTGGCGGTGGTGGTGCTG